CACACACACACAACCTATGTGTTTGGAACTATATCTACTGTACCTACCACTATGTTGCTGAACTATACTACTGTATCGCTACGCACTATGTGCTGCAATATACTACTGTACCTACCACTATGTGTTGGAACTATACCTACTGTAGCCTACCACTATGTCTGGATACTATACATACTGTAGCCTACCACTGATGTGCTGGAACTATACTACTCGTACCTAACCACTATGTGTGCACTATACTACTGTATCGTACCACCTATGTGCTCGGAACATTTACTACTGCACCTACCACTATGTGTTGGAACTATACTACTGTACCTACCACTATGTGTTGGAACTATACTACTGTACCTACCACTATGTGTTGGAACTATACTACTGCACCTACCACTATGTGTTGGAACTATACTACTGTACCTACCACTATGTGTTTGGAACATACTACTGCACTACCACTATGTGCTTGGAACTATACTACTGTACCTACCACTATGTGTTGGAACTATACTACTGTACCTACCACTATGTGTTGGAACTATACTACTGTACCTACCACTATGTGTTGGAACTATACTGACTGGCAGCCTACCACTATGCTGTTGGAAACTATACTACTGTACCCACCACTTATTGTGTTGAACTATAGCTACTGTACTACCACTATGTGTTGGAACTATACTACTGTACCTACCACTATGTGTTGGAACTATACTACTGTAGCCTATGCACTATGTTTTGGACTATAAATTTCTACTGTCCTACCAACTATGTGTTGTGACTAGTACTAGCTGTACCTACCAACTATGTGTTGGAACTATACTATGTACTACCACTATGTGTTGGAACTATACTCTGCACCTACCACTATGTGTTTAGGAACTATAGCTACTGGCAACCTACCACTATGGTGTTGGAACTTATAGCTTAACTGTACCTACCACGTATGTGTTGGAACTATACTACCTGACCTACATATGTGTGGAACTATACTACTGCACCTAATACCACTATGTGTTGGAACTAATACTATAGTACCTACCACTCATGTGTTGGAAACGTATACTACTGCACCTACCACTATGTGTTGGAACTCTAGCACTGCACCTACCACTATGTGTTGGAACTATACTACTGTACCTACCACTATGTGTTGGAACTATACTACTGCACCTACCACTATGTGTTGGAACTATACTACTGTACTACCACTATGGTGTTGGAACTATACTCACTGTACGGCTACACTAACTGTGTTGGAACTATACTACTGAGCCTAACCACTATGTGTTGCGAACTAATACTACTTGTACCTCCCACTATGTGTTGGAACTATACTTACTGCACCCTACTCACTATGTTTGGATACTATACTACTTACCTACCACTATGTGTTGGAACTATACTACTGCACCTACCACTATGTGTTGGAACTATACTACTACTTGCACCTACCACTAGTGTGTTGGAACTATACTACTGGTACTACCATATGTGTTGGGAACTGATACTACTGGCACCGCTAACCACTGATGTGTTGGAACTATACTACCTGCACCTCCACTATGGTGTTGAAGCATATGACTACTGCACCTACCACTATGCTTTGGAACTATACTAACTGTACCGTACCACTATGTGTTGGGAACTATACTACTGTACCTACCACTATGTGTTGGAACAGCCAGGAGCGCATGATGTTGGTGGCATGCTTCGGTAGCACCCCTCGCTTGGTTCGTCCCTTCTTACCGCTGTCATCATCATCATCACTCACACTGCCACCTGTCATCGCAAAGTTTCTCTTAATCACCAACTTAACTAGTAAGTATCATCAACTTAACTAGTAAGTATGCAGCCAACTAGACTATAAGTATCAATTCAACTTAACACTAGTACAGTATCTCAACCAAAACTTTACTAGTAAGTAATCTATCACTTAAACTACGTAAGTATCATCAACTTAACTAGTAAGTATCATCAACATTAACTAAGTAAGTAATCATCAACTTAACTAGTTTTAAGTATCATCAACTAACTAGTAAGTATCAGCCAACTTAACTAGTAATCGGTATCATGCAACTTAACTAGTAAGTATCACGTCAACTTAACTAGTATAATCCAATCAACTTAACTAAGTAAATGTATCATCAAACTTAACTAGTAAGTATCATCAACTTTAACTAGTAAGTACATCAACTTTAACTAGTAAGTTATCATCAAACTTACTAGTAAGTATCACCAACTTTAAACTAGTAAGTATCACCAACTTAACTAGTAAGTATCATCAAACTTAACTAAGTAAGTTATCAATCAACTTAAGCTAGAAGTAATCACCAACTTCACTAGTAAGTATCATCAACTTAACTAGTAAGGTATCATCACTTAAACTAGTAAGTATCATCAATCTTAACTATTAAGTATCATCACTTAAACTAGTAAGTATCATCACTTAACTGAGTAGTATCATCACTTAACTAGTAAGTATGCACTCAACTTACTAGTAAGTTGTCCTCCAACTTAACTAGTAAGTATGCATCAACTTAAACTAGTAAGTTCAATGCAATTAAACTAGTAAGTATCATCAACTTAACTTAGTAAGATATCAATCAACTTAACTAGTAAGTATCACCACTTAACTGTAAGGTATCATCACTTAAGCTAGTAAAAGTATCATCACTTAACTAAGTAAGTATCACCAAACTTAAGCTATAAAGTATCGAGCCAACTTAACTAGTAATATGGAGGGAGTGAGATAGTCAGGTGTGTTGGGTGGTTAGAGGGAATCGACTAATAAGTGTTGCGGTTTTCATTAGCGTATTAGCTGGGTTAGAGTGGGTAACCTGTTACAGCGTGCATGTCTAGTTAGCTCACACTAGGGTTCCTGTATACAGAGAGTTGCGCCATGACGAGTCGGGAAAAATCGGTCACGTGATCGCTGGACGGCATGTTGTTTCCAAATTGATCCACACCGCTGCCGCTTAAGTACAGCGCTGTATGGATATGCTGTACAATGGTCCGTAGTAATTAATTAGACTAATCGTGCTTCAATAAACTCAAAATTTACAGAGATTATAGCTAAGACATACATGTGTCTATGTGTATCTAGATTTCTAGAACTGCAAAACACATGTTACAGCTGCGAGCGAGTGGAGAGTGGAACGCATTTATCTTGTGAATTACAGTTGTCATTATTCTTCCAAAATGACTAGCTGCTGTGTTTACACTAAGAAAGTGTACAATTAAGCTATCAATATCATATGGCGCGAACGATTTGAGTTACTTTTCTAGAAATCTAGATACATATAAACACATGTGTTATCTATAATCTTTGGGATTCTTGAGATTATTGAAGCGCGAGTGGTTTAATTAATTAGCAAGTATCTACGCGCGTTATCGCACAGGTTAATATACGCACGGCTATGGGCGGTAAGAAAGTGTACAATTAAACTATCATATGGCGCGAACGATTTGAGTTACATTTCTAATATATATTATATAGTATAACGTTACGTTTCCCCCCACAGTGGTGACGGTGGACGGGCAGCTGCTACAGACAGCGACCACGCTAGCGAGTCTGCAGGCAGGGCAGCTCATCAGAACCACCTACAGCATCATCAACTGCCCCGCGACGAACGACCAGCCACCGACGACAACGACCGACGGAGGCAGCGGTCTCAGCATGTCCGACAGCGGCAACGACAACGGCGTTGCCGACGACGACGACGACATGGACGCAGACGACGATGACGATGATGATCTTCTGGCGGGAGATTCGGACGATTAGACCGGCGCCGTCGCCGCGGACACGTGAGTTTTCGCGCGGGGCCGCGAGCAGTCTTACAGAGGTTCGTGGGGGAGGGGGGCAGTCTGGAGCGTGATCACGCTTTGGAATCGACGCGCAGACAGCTGGCTCCCCTCTCCTCAGTTGCCGTGTCGTCGGGGGGCGTGATACTACTGGGGCGTGGAATCGAGTTGCTAATTGCATTGCGTCTCCTTTGGGAGGCATCCACGGATTGTGCGATGGAGGAGGAGGCATCCACGGCTTGTGCGATGGAGGAGGATGCATCCACGGCTTGTGCGATGGAGGAGGAGGAGGAGGAGGGAGGAGAGAAGCGAGGTGGGGGAGAGCCGATATCGGATTCTCGATTGCTCGATGCGATCTCCCCTTCGCGCCGCCGTCGGCGATTCCCTAACGCGTTTGCAGTTTGTAAGCTTTCGTAGCAGCCGTGTCTGTGTAACACGCGCCCTGTGTGCTGCCGCCGTCGCCGCTCATTGTAGCATACATACGCAGGTTCTCCCTCCAGGCATTTCAGATGGCATGTCAGGGGTCCCCGATTGCTAGTTAAGGGTCGATTACGCGTGTTGTAAGCGGCCCTAATACACAGGTAAACTGATCGGTACCGGAAGGTACTTATC